TGGTCACGCATTTCGTATATCATTAATCACGTGAAATTAAAGACGGTCGTGATTGACAATTTTTAGGTCTAACAGTACCTTTTGATTAGATCTTTATTTTAAACCAATCTGTTACTATTGCTAATAATTGCTAGCTTGTATATCATTTAATAATATTTTTGGATTTTACTATTTTATAATATATATTAAAACTTATTTTATATAGATTAGCATTCTACCTATTAGCATTTGCAATATATAGTACTATTTTCAACTTGGATTTTTTTATCTATTAGTTAATATCGGGAATGATGCTGAAACCAGATGATGCTTTTAAAATCATTCCTGACAGTTAATATTGTTTATTATAATATATTATAGTTTATTTTATATATTATAAACATTTATATAGAAATAATATGTTTTAATATAGCATTTTTATATATGCATAAAGACTAGCTTACTTCTATATACTATATTTAATTTTTATGGCTATAATTTTTTAAGCTAGTAGTGTTATAATGTAAAATTATTTTAATTCTAATAAGACTAATATTTATTATATATTACTATGTTAATTTAATTTATTTTATTACAACTTTATTTAGAGCCCAAGAGCAATTTATTTAATAAAATAATATTTGTAAATTTAAATTTATTTTTTAAATAATAGATAAATTATTTATTAATTTAAAAATTTGATTTAATATTATAAAAGAATTCAAAATATCTATTAAAATAAACTCTACATATATTTAAATTATTTTTAAATTTTGAATAAAGATATTTTTGTAATTACTATAACAGATTAAAATAAAATAATTAAAATAAAATTTTGTATAAAGTAAAATAGACAAGCCATCAAAAACACATTTTGAAGTGCATCTTTTTAGCTTTTTTTAAAGTTAGGGGGTTAGCTTTATGGGTAGAATTTATAATAAATAAGTATATTTTAGAAGGTTAAAAATAGAGATCACAAATTTCATTTTAATCAGATTTCATTATGATTCGTGACAATAAATAAAGTACTTCTTTCTACTTGTGCTTAAAAAAGTAGATACACGTGATCATAAGATGAACCAAATAGAGGATCTTGAGCGACGATACGTGACTACTTTCCTTAATCTTCAATATCCTGTATCCAACCCGTAATGACCTTCTTGAGCGTTATAGTTTGACATAAGGGTTTTAGATAGACTGCATAGACTAAATACAGTAGGGATCGACTACCTCAAAGGTTCACGGCACTGTAACCTAAAAAATAAAGATATAAAACTCATTGCATGTACTGTACGTACGTATAACGGAAGAAGCTTTTCGACTAAAAATTACCTTCTTTAACTGGCCACCCACAAGTTTATATCTGTGACCCCGTACAAATCGGTGTTGTTGAAGTGAAGTCTCTCCCAAGTCACAACAATATACATAAATTAACTAATCGTATGTAATTCTTCTCATGCCGATTTTTGTAATACTATGCGCGAATATTAATTTTTAATTTATTTTTTTTTAAGCTTTTGTTGCTATACTTTTAACATAATGAATAATGAAAGGGATTTATATGATTGGTATACAAAATTATGTTCGCTTAAAGAAGTTTTATTTGAATTAAATGAAACAAACCATATTTATTGCGGATTTGAAACAAACCATATGCATTGCAGATTTGATACAAACCATCTTTATTGGGGATTTAAACCAGACCATAGTTATTGCAGAATTGAAACATGGGGAACTAAGCCAGATAGCATTTTACCTTATATCGCTCCAGAAGTCTTAAGTAAGAAACCAATAACAGACATTCAACCCGCCAATATCTATAGTTTGGTGTAATTATGACCGAGGTATCATCAGGAACACGAGCATTTGATGGATATAACTTTGATTTTTTCGAATTTAAATATAAAATTCTTTGTGAGGGATTAAGACCTATGTGTGCACCAGGTACACCTGTATGTTATGTAGAATTGGCCAAACAATGCATGAATGCCAATATCTATAAACGGCCTACTATAAAAGATATTCAAGATAAAATTAATAATTGGGTAAATTCAAATGAAGATAAACTAATTGAGAAATTCGAGAATCAGAGGTTCAAGAAAGTTGAAAATTTTAAAAAAATTCTACTTAGAAATAAGATTAACAAGAAAGTTGAAAATTTTAGAAGAATTCAACTTAGAAATAGGATTAAATGGATCCCATTCCATAGATTATCCAATGTTGAAATTATAGGAGAAGGCGGATTTAGCACCGTGTATAGAGCAAAATGGTTTGATAAACCATATTATAATGACAAAGTATATGATGATATTGTGGCTCTTAAGATTATAACACTGGAAGAATTTGAAAATCACATAAAATGCTATAAGCAATATGTAATGTTAGATATATATGGGGTCACTTTGAAGCCTGAAACGGACGAATATATGATGGTATTTCAGTATGCTAAAAATGGAAGCCTTTATAATTACTTAAGAAAAAATATTCAATATTTAGAATGGGAAAGAAAATTAGAGATGCTTTTAGATATTTTAAATAATTTAAAACAAATTCATGATGTGGGATTAATTCATTCTGATTTTCATAGTGGAAATGTTTTACAAGATGGTGATGTTTTTGGTTACTCAGGTTCGTCGTATATTACTGATTTAGGCTTAGCTAGGCAAGAGAATGAGGTAACTGGTAAAATTTATGGTGTATTGCCATATGTTAGTCCTGAAGTTTTACAAGGCAAACCATTCACACAAGCTGCAGATATTTACGGATTAGGTGTTATTATGTGGGAATTTTCTACAGGACAAAGGCCTTTTGATGGTTATAAATTTGACTATGAACTTGCATTAAAGATTTGCTTTGGACTACGTCCCGAATTTGCACCGGGAACCCCTAAATGTTATATAGAATTGGCTAAACAATGCATGGATTCTGACCCCGATAAACGACCTACTGCAGAAAAGATTCATGATAAGATTAATAATTGGCTTCAATTATTATTATGTGAGTGGGACGATGAAAATGGCATTTATCAAGAATTTGCAGAAGTCGACGAGAACAAACCGAAGCCTATCGAATCGAAACATCCTAATCACATGTATACGAGTAAAGCGATCAATACACAGGAGATCAAACAATTATCAAAACAGTTAAAAAACATGATATTAAGCCAACAAAGTAAATTAATTGATTTTGTAGAATCAGAACAGTTAAAAGATATAAAATTAAGCCAACAAAGTAAACAAATCGATTCTGCAGAAACAGAAAGATCAAAAAATATGAAATTGAGCCAACCAAGTAAACAAATTGATCCTGTTGAAATTCCAGATGATTAATATTAAAAAATTTATAAAAAAATTGTTTGTAAATGTAAATCAATTACAAATAACTTGTCATACATATATCAGATTATTTCTAGACTTAGGGTGTTCTCAAGCATTTCAATCAATTAATTAAATAATGATATTTATAGAATTAAATGCTTGAGCATACTCTTAATTTCGGCTGTGTTGGTTTCTCCTTTAATGACTTTATCAATTTGAATCTTTTGTTGCAACAGCTATAGAATTTATTTATGGAATCATTAGCGAAAGTTGCATTACAGCAACAAGAAATAAAATTTTTTTTTCTTGAAAATATCAGTATTAATATTTAAGTTTTATTTAACGAAAAATGAATAGCAATATTCATAATGGTTTGCTTAAAGGCTAAAATATTTGTTGCATTTATTACGTTAAGATCAAGGTATCAATATTTGAGTGTCGCTAAAAGAAAAACCAAAAATTTAAATATGACTTATATTTAAATTTCTGGTTTCTTTTAACGACACTCATTTGTTTTGAAAGTTTGAGAATTAAAAATAAAGTGACTATTTTTTTCATGTCGATTAGGAATTTGTTGAGAATTCATTGTTCATTATTTTGATATGTAATAAATTAAAAGTAGTGCTTGAGCGATCTTT